CGTTATACATAACTTTATGTGTAAAGTTATGACATGCAGTTAACAAAATCTGCAAACTTATGCTTAATGATACAGTGTGTAATTAAGTTCGCAGATTAACTGCATGTCATACCCTTAAATCTAAGGTTGCAAATTTGTGTAGATGAAAGAAAAATATTCAAACTTATTGCTTAAAGTGTTGGACATTTCAGCCGCTAGGAGAAAGGAAGGGCAGGGGTCGAGGGAAGGAAGTGTCCTGTTTTCTTTTTTTGCCTGAATGTCTTCAGAAATGTGCTTCTACCTCTTGCTGAGGAAAAACTTATTCAAAACTTATACTTTTACTAAGAAGTATAATACTTATACTAAGAAGTTGAGACTAAGAACTATGGTTCTGAAAAACAGAGCTCAGAGATCTGAACTACCACTTTTCTCATTATCCTAGTTCAAAATCACTATTGAGTGGCATGCAAATCTATCAAAACTTCAAGAATATTTGTTTGAAGCAAAGAAAGACTGTTTAAAAATGTACAGCCAACTGCCGGTAAATATTCTCATAAGAACTTGAAATACAGTGTTTTAAATTGTGAGCCTTTTCTAATATAAGGACTGAAAATATCTATCCTTTAAGAAACTAATGACAGTGCTGTTTGACTTCTTGTTCAGTCCCCGCAAACAGTGTCAGGTACTTCTCATTTCATCTGCCTGGCAGATATGTTTGTCCTGAGCTAGTGAACAGTTTTCTTGTCAGTGTGTTTGCTATGTACAGCAGTAAGGTTCTTAGGACAGCACTAAGAAGCAAGTTAGTACTTACTGCACACGAAGCAGTGATGCCTCTTGCAAAAATGGCCTCTGAAACAGCATGCAGCACTTCTCAAAAAGAGGCCTCAACCATTTTTAGGCCTTGTTATTCTCATTTGCACAGTATTCAAAGGCATGTGGAAATGTTGATGAATAGCATAGTCTGCTATTTATACTAGTGATGTTTTTGGTTTTGAGAAGAGATTGCAGGACGAAGATGCATTTGAATGAGTCAATTTTATTTAAGGCAAGAAATCAAAATCAATTTCATCTTTTTTAATAACTGAACAACGTTCCTTGAATTTCTTTTGTCTTAAAAGCTGATATATAACTCTTTGGGGTAAATCTTTAAAGAGAGATTGATTATATTTTGTGAACTTCGTCAGTTGAATTCTCATCACCCAAGGTATACTTGAGCTCACAGATCATGAGCTTTGTCCAGGTTGCTTGTCTTCCTACCAAAATCTTTCTTTTGCCATTTATGTGGCACTGGGAATGCTTTTCGCCAGTTGCCCACTTTCCCTCAAAGGTATCCCATTTTTTTTTCTGATTAGTCTTGCATGCTGTAGTGCCTAACTTTGAATCTTTGCATGCATTATTGTATTTAGATACTGCTTTATATCTTTAACATTTTATTGAGCTCCAAAATATCTGTATTGGGCTCCTAATTATCTGTATATGACTGTTAAGCGTAGATAGTTTTAGAAATAAAGTTGTGAATTTTTTTAAAGCAAATGGCTTTAAAGCTCCAAACTGTTCTTGAGAAATGATGCTATGCAGTACAACATTTCTTCAAATGTGTTTTTTTTCAGATTACACTTCAGCAGAAACTAGAAGACTTCTTACATAAGGAACATTAGCTAGGAATACATATAGATAGAAAACCAATGTATTTAGATAATGTAGAAATAATTGAAGCTACTAGAGATGCGTTTCTTAACCAGTCATGTATGGATTTATGTTCTGGCCTGCAGTCCTTTTACTAGTAACTTCAGGATTTCCTGAAGCTAAATTCAAATCCAACCTTTGGTTAAAGATTTCTTGGGAGAAGTTAACAGAGAAGTTAATACTTCCAAGTCATTTTATGCAAAAACTGCACAAGACAAACAGGTCTTTGGGAACCATTTGTGTGCTTATCTTAGAACTTGACAGTTTTGAAATATTGAGTTTTAGTGATTTAATAAAAACACTTTATCAGTTTCAGAATATTTTCTAGTTTAATAATGCTCATCTCTCGTTATTAATCTGTCTTGCATTGATTTTTTTGGGGCGAGAGGGGAGGAGGAGAAGGACACTTTTAATGAATCCAAATTCCCTAGCTTAAGTTTAAATGTCATGAGAAATAGAATTACAGCTTTTGTAATTATTATTAAGAATGTTGTTTGTGCTTTTAATGTGTTAAGCCCATTCCTCTTTACAACATTTCCTTAGGTTTCCTGTACAAAAATACTTAGGGATCTTCCAAAGAAAGATTATTGTATAAAGAGTTTCAGTTGAAGAAATAAATGGGCTTATTCATAAACTCTGGCTGTTTAGCACTTCTCAGTGTCCTGCATAGCTCTGTACAGCTGAAGTCTGGCTCCGTGAAGGAATTCTGTCCCATGTGCTGTAAATGGCACAAGCTAGAGCGTTGGGCAAGCTGAAGTGGTGCTGCAGATCCTGGTGTGGTGTGTTATGTTATACAATTTTCTTAAGCCAAAGATTATTCTTCTGCAGGAAAAAGGAGTGTAGAATTACTAAGTGAATAATTTTACCTAGAATGTGTTTGCAAGTTCTTATATCCAAAAGAATTCTCCTAAGTCTAGTAATCTTTGAATATTGAATAGGAGTAATTGCTTCTTAGTTATTTATTTTTTGATGAAGTAGAAGATCTTTGCAGGGCTTGACCAAAGTATTCGCCTAGAATTGAGGGTTTTTTCCTTCTTGTTCCTCATGCTGAGCACTGGGAAAAGAGAAGACTGCAGAAATTGGGAAGCGAATGTTCTGTTCTATAAAACTGGGTGCACTTGAAGTAAGCAACAGCCGGGGTGTTGGGGAGCAGAAGTAGACATGCTGCTGCATGGGTTTGTGCTCTTCGAGCATGGTCCTTTGGGCACTGCTGGCAGAATATTGACCAGTTCAGATGTTACGGAGCTTTTGTTCTTTGTTAGAATGATTTAGAGATGACCTAGAAAATGTTCTGCAGTAAAACAGTTTTTTAAAAATCTCAGTCTAGAATATCAAAATCAACAATTTCAAAAAATACTAAGAGAGGGCTTGACTGTAAGGCACACTGAATTTTCCGAAAGAGGGTATCATTCTTTTTTTCTCTCCTTGAAGGTTTAAATAGAGCTAGATTTTTAAGAGGAGAGAAGTAAAAAATAATAGCTGAAGTAAAAAAGAAACATCCAAATAATAGCTGAAGTAAAAAAGAAACATCCAAGCCATAATGGAGAGAATTAACTGTTAGGAAAAGATGTAAGGAAAGGGAGGGAAACATTTCCTGGTGTATTTTATTTTTTTTCCAGCCTTCATGTAAAGCATCCTCCTAGAGTACCACTGCATTACTGAAAATTCTAAAAACATATGGCCCTAGTTTTGGGTAAAGAACCAGACCTTGCTGACTTTGGTAATTGCATGGAAAAGTTTTATATAAATGAGTCTGCCCTGGTGTGTATGTAAAGCTGAAGGGTGTTTTATTTCTTGACCACTTATAGTAGAGTCCTTATTTTAGTGTTTTTAATCGTAGGTGACTTGGGTTGCATTTGCCAAAGTGAGTTGTTAATTACATTATATATCTACAGTTGTGTAAGATTCAGAGTTACCCTTAGCCAAGCTTACTGTGCTCCGTTCAGTCATAAATGTGTGAGTTATTTTTATGCAGATAATGTGTAAAGGATTTTCAGTCTGGATTATATTGTTGCAGCTGGGTGATCATTGAAGACTTCTCTATTCCCCCTGGAAAATCACACTTTTTTCCAAGACAGGGGTTTTGGCAGATTTAAAATAGAGGTTTTCTACTTTCTTTTATTATTGTTGTTATTATTGCTTCTGTGTTTGGGTATTTTGCAAGGAGAGGAGGTGGCTTGCTTGTTTCAAACTCCTCACATCATTGAGATCAGCACTCGTCCCATGAATCTGAATCCTAATAACATATTTTCTCCACTAATTGCAGTTCTTCCTTGAAACAGGAAGATCCTAAGAAGCAACTCTAGCATAAAACAGGAGGTTGAACAGCCAATGTGCTGACCTCTGTGTGTTAGGGCCAGAAGTATGCGAAAGGAAGTCCCAGCACTCGGATGCTGTCATGCCTAAATGCTTTTTGGTTTCCAGTATTGGTTTGTGTATTAATATGCACAGTGCTTGACGGTGCTCTTCAGCTCTTCACCCTTTTTCATGCTTCTTCCACCAGTTTAGTTATAGACAGCAGTTGTGTTGCCTTTTAACTGTTCTTTCACCAAACCAAGCTGACCTTCATTTCTAGACCATCTCAGGGAAACTGTTTCCGTGCAGCTGGCTAGCTCTTTACTGCCCGAGTCCTTTTTCTCTTGAACTCCACTGCAGTTCTCTACAGCAATCCAGAGAGTTGGGTTACTGCTCTTTCGTACAATGAAGCTAGATGCTTCCCTGTTCCTGCCAGCATCCTTTTGTCTCACTCCTTTTGCATGGATAAGCCCCCGGTTCCTTCTAGCTATTTTCTGCTTAACACTTAAAGTAGGAGGTAGTGGATTTATGTTGCTGAATGCCATATGATTTTTCTGATGCCAGTCCTCTAGCCCCTTCATTTTCTTCAGTAAGAGAATAAGATATTTTTCAACATTAATGATTGTTCCTCCCTGTGTTTTAGAAAGAATTGGTACTTTTTGTGTCTGGGACCTTCATGAAAATGTAGTTCTTAAATTTTCTTTTAGGAGCTGTATTGGTAACTTTATTCCAACTGCCATCATTCTTTCAAAAAAATAAAATTTCTTTGCGGCGGGGGGAAGATTAGAAGGTTCTTGGATTGGTCTTGAGCAGTCCATCCTTTATGAAACCACATAATGTTTTAGATCATTTTCCTCCATTGGTCTTTATAGAACTTGTTTTGAAACAATTCTTGACTTTTCCTTAAATTAGACAAAGAGGTGGCTTAAATACTATTTTGTATTAATACTGGTGTTACTGTGTCACAGTGTTACTACTGTGACTTTTTAAAATAACTAAATCAGAAAACTCTTCAAATACAGTCTGAATATGTCTTTCAGCCAATGGTAATGACAGCAAGAAATTCAAAGGTGACGATAAAATGGATGGGGTTCCCTCTCGTGTTCTTCATATCAGGAAATTGCCTGGTGAAGTGACAGAAACAGAAGTTATTGCTTTAGGTTTACCTTTTGGCAAGGTAACCAACATCCTGATGCTGAAAGGAAAAAATCAGGTAATTTACTTTTTAAAAATGGTTGCTATCTAATTTCAAAATATACTGTTACAGTGCTTTTGCAATGAGGCATTTTATGGTCAGTATTAAAAATGCTTTATTCTTTTCATTATTTTACTCTTTTAATTTTCTTAAGGAACAGAGGAGGGTTTGCGAAGTGACTTGTAAATATTTAGACTTGCATCTTCATAGATGAATTAGAGAAAGCATTTTAGAAAATGTTGTTCTCTGTGTGCCAAGTTTATTTGGTAAACTATTTGATATTTGGGCAAGTTTGTTATTAAACATCAAGACTTTTTGTTTCTAATAAACTGTTGTGTAAATGCTAAAAATCACTTATTTGATTTTTTTTTCATATCATAGGCATTTTTGGAACTGGCAACAGAAGAAGCAGCTGTCACAATGGTTAACTACTATTCTGCTGTGACGCCTCATCTTCGTAACCAACCAATTTATATCCAGTATTCTAACCATAAAGAACTAAAGACTGATAATACACTAAACCAGGTATAGTCACTGTTACATAGCATTTCAGATGCAGACAGTAGGCAATGGAATCATATTCTTTGGTTGTGTTTGGATGTTTCTTGGGTAGTTTGACTTGTCTGGTAATTTTATTTATGATCCTTCAATTTTGTGATATTGAAGGAAACTTGCTTTTTGTGATCTTTGCAGTATAGTGGATTTTCCTAACATGTTTTTTTAACATGAAAAGAAGAAAGATTGAGGTATTTATAACTTGATTTTTTTTAATGAAACTTAAATCTTGATTTAGAAGATGCAGGATGAAAACAGTGAACTTTTTATTTCTAGCACCTGAGATTCATTTGTCAATTTGAATTTCCCTAGTACTGGCTGCTAATGCCAATGCCCACATCTCTGTGCTTTCAGTGATTACTCTGGTAGCACTGGTAACATCAGCGCATGCAATTCCTTCTTCCTGAAGGATACGTTAATGATCAGTGTAGAGAGAAATGTGTTTTAATGATTTTGTACTTGCCTCTGCAGAACCTATTTTAAAACAAAGATACATAGGAGGTGTGTATATATGTTTATTTGAGTAAATGGGAACATATGCAAAAACAATGCTTTTGCAGAAGAGATCTTCCTAGTGTGGTAGCCATTATGTGCGAAGTGGGAGGGGGAAGAGGCATCAACTCACCACAAGTCAGATATTTAAGGTGAATTTCTTACACTGTTTTGTAACATCAAAAAGAATGCAAGTATCGAGTGGCAGGTTTCTTACTCTTAGCCTGGGATAAGGCGTGTAAAGATAACAACTATAAATTTTACCATTTAAAAACAATTTCACGGCAATCTCCTGTTTAAAATAAATCTTAGTTGAAGTGGAATGTTGACTTATTTTCTTGTTGATCTTTCTAAGCATTCCAATTCCTTAGACTTTCCTAATGGTCTATATCAGCAAAGGGTACTCTTCCAAAATCATTAAAAAAAAAAAAAAAGTCCTAAAGCAAAGAGATGCTGTAATTGACTTCTGAAAAGGAGCAGGAAGAATTAATTCATTTAATAGCTAGATATCATGGATGAAAATACTGTCTTAAGGAGAAAAAAAATCCTTGTCTGATACTTTTCTCTGTCTTCTATGGCAGTACAGGTTTTTGCTTCATAGGACCACATTTTCAACACATGAGATACACTGGCACCTTTTATGTTGCAATAATCATTGATACCCTGTTTTAACAGTCATATCCCTCACCTTTCCGGACTTTGTACCTTCTTCAAGTTAAAATTAAAGAATGAGTAGGAATTTGGCAATAATTGCTCTGTAAATAGTATCTCATGAGGCATTCCCTAAAACAGGGTGATTAGATATTCTTGTCTTTGTAGGGAACAGTCAAGGAGGTGCAGTTTTTCACTCTGCTCTTTTGAGATAGTCACAACTACAGCTTTTAATCTGTATTTGAAAGCTTTTTTCCTTCCAACGAACTTCATTTTTAAAATTTAATTTCCTGATTCTTTGGCAAAGAAGATATGAAGATGTAAGGACGTTAGTACATGGAACTAGAAAGACAGGATTAACAATTAGAAGAGAAACAAGCAAACAAAAAACATATGTTAGCTTATACAGAGGACAGAAAACTCTTCTTTTCCAGACATGGAATACTTGAAAAATCCAAGCTTTTAAGTTAATGAAGAAAAAGTATTTAACCTATAGTCAAATAAACTAGCCTGTGAGAGTGTTACTCTTTCTAATAATTAAAAATTGCATAATTAGAATGATTTAAGTCTGGATAAAGATGTTCAAAATGGGCCGTTTAGATTTGTACGTTACTTTATAGTTGTGTGACAATTCATTTCCTGTGAGACATGAAAACCCCAAAATAAAAGAACATTTAACCTCAGATTTTAAGTATATATCTATCTATCTTGTGTTGTGCAATAGTACCCGAACTTGGTTAGATCATTTGAGAATGGAGACCTGCATAACTCTCTTTAGTCATCAACCTGTCAAAAATGCAGAGTTTAATCTTTCTGCATAGGTACAGAATGTATTATGCTAACTTCTTTTTATACATGCTGCAAGATGGAACTGATCTTTTTCAAACTATTTTGCTCTTGAAAAAATACTTCGTGACTTCGAGTGAGATAGTTACATATAAACAATAGTCTGAACTTCTTTCTTGATAATCTGCTTTGTAGTAATTTGTCGTTTACTCATATCTGCAGGTGTTTATTCTTGCACATGACTTCATTTAATCATTAATTTGTGTTAACTTTATATGGAAAGAGTCGAGATACAAATATGCATAAATGGCACCACAAAGCAGCTCCTATGACTAAAGGTTCTGTGTTTTCAGGTTGTATAGTGTAGTCTTCTCCATTTACTTTAAGGCAGGAGTTTTAATAGGTATGTTCTTCTGTTGGAAGTAACTGTGATGTAGGCAGCTATTTAGCTAGCTTGAAAATTGTGTATATTATACATTCGGAAAAAAGAAAGCTGTTATCCAAAGTTGCTTTTGCAGAGTTATAATTGTTTAACATAGAAGATTTTTTTTCCTCGCAAGTAGTGTTCACCAGGTCTTTTTTTCTTATTTTCCTTATTCATTGATTCGTGTCAGTATGAGGAATATCATGTAAGTTGTAAGACATGAAATTGTATAGTAGCTCTAATATTTTAAAAATATGCAGTATGCGTTAATATGGTGGTTATTATTTTCACCTGGCATGCTCACTTGTCTCCTTGTGTACTGTTTTACTTTGTAAGGCTACTGTAACAAAAATATTAAATGGAAAACCGTTTTGCTGTGTTCCTCCCACCCAAATCTGATCTTTCTAAAACTTTTGGTTTTGGCAGTAGCAGTAGTTCTGTAGCTGTGTGTTCTTGTGTTATCATCATTTGATTACCTTTGAATTTTTAAAACCCTGCTTGTGCAGTTTTTTATTTGTATGTTTTTTAACACATGAAGAGGATTTTGTTTCCCTTTTTTGATAAAGGGAGGTGGATACCAGGTACCAGGGTGTTTGCTCCTCTGTGGATGTTTCTTTCTGACCTGATGGGAACCGATTGTGTATTGGTTCCTTATGTTACAACCGAGAAATCAGGAAGTGTTAGCTTAGCGTGTCCTTCCCATTGGAGTCTTCTGCCCGATTAAAGTGACAATGAAATGCTAAAATGTATCTAATCCAAACTCTTGGAAAAGCAGAATACAAATTTTGACTTCAGTAGGGTTTTGCGGGGGAGGGAATCTTTACAGATTCTTTTAAAATCCACAAAATCCTCACTTCTTAACCTTACTGGTTGAACAATAAACTTGCTACTAGGAAGACTCATATTGGCACTATCTGAAGCCTCTTCTTACTTTCCCATGAGAATTAATTGATGTTTTCATTTTGTCTCCTCTCACAGTCGGACTGCGTTGCACTCTGTGTTATGTCTGTAGCCAAGATTTTTTAAAATAAGTGTATTGTTTATGTTTCTGAAGATAACCGGGTATTGCTAACTAATTTCTAGCTATCATCTTGAAATTATTTAAAAACTAAAAACCGCATCTGCCTTTTCCTTCAGCGGGCCCAAGCTGTTCTCCAGGCGGTGACAGCAGTACAGACAACGAACGCACCCATCAGCGGGACCACAGTTAGTGAGAGTGCAGTGACTCCAGCCCAGAGTCCCGTACTTAGAATAATTATTGACAACATGTACTATCCTGTAACCCTGGATGTTCTTCATCAGGTAAGCCAAGTTTCTTTTTAACTTGAGCTGTGATTGGCATTAGCTTGCACGTAAAACCTTACAATGTTTTTGACAGATATTCTCCAAGTTTGGTGCTGTGCTGAAGATAATCACATTCACGAAGAATAACCAGTTTCAGGCTTTGCTACAGTATGGTGATCCGGTAAATGCGCAGCAAGCAAAACTAGTAAGTATAACTCTTAAGATCAAGCCTCTACTGTACTCTCTGCACTTGGAAAATGCTACTGTGAAGAAGAGCTGACTGTTCCTATGTCTTATCTTTTCACATCTTGCACAAAAGCATGTTTTTTAATACATCGAGTTGGCAATATTTAACATGGTCATGTTGCATTTGATGTTTTTGAAGATAATATGTCTAAAGAACTGTGTGCATATATAATTATTAAAAAACCCTCTTGTGCTAAGTGCTAAGAAGGGAGAGGACAAAGCTGCTCATGAGACCAGCATAGAAAGCAGTGCATTGGTGAGGTGTATCAGCTGTGAGGTGAAGTTGTATTTCAGAGGAGGATCTTGGTTTCGGTTTATGGGAAACACTCCTATCCTGGAGAGGATGGGAGAGGACAAAACTAGGTAACTGGTTTATTCACTACACCAGGAGGGCCTAATGAACAGCGAGGTCTGGATGACCAGCTGTTGCTCTGTCACAGTGTTTGGAATGGACTGAATGGAATATGTTCACATCGTGGTTCTGTGAATTGTGTGACTGTGAGACCTCTCACAGAGTGAACCAAAGGGAAAGGCTAGACAATTTTTTCCAGTAATGTACAGGATCTATTTAGATTTTTGAACTTCTGCATGTAGCCTGGGTTTGTGCAAGGCTGATTAAAATTGATGTGCTAGTTAAGTGCTGCTTGGCAGGATAGGAAGTGGTTATTATGCATAGATGACAGACTAGCTGAGAACTTCAGGAAAAAGTGAAAAGCTCACACCTCAGATTAAGTTGGCAATGGATATTTATCTGAAGAGGAAAGAATGTCTGATGTGAAAGATGTCTGATACGAAGCTTCTAGTCCTATAGACCACTTTTTGCTGTCTGAATGGGCAAATAGTGGAAAAATTGCATTTCTGTTCTACTTGCTTTCAGAGAAATTCATTTCTTATAGGAATAGACTATGGATGCACTGACTCAGTCTCATCATCACCTTCAGATTGGATTGTTAGAGTTTATTGTATCTGCAACCAAAAGTGAAGACTACAAACCTCAGTGTCAGCAATGCAGCAGCATTGCCAAGGGCTGGAAAAAGCGCTGAGGATGTGCCACGCTAGTTGATACCTCTCTGTGCCTTTGTGTGTGGCTTTGTTTGTTTCTTTTTCCCTTCCCTAGTCTGATTTGATCATTCTCTGTCAGACCTTAGCAAGTGCACTCAGCCTGTTCTGCATTAGACCAATTTCCTGCTGTAGGTCATTCCTGTAGATGTCTATACTGCTGGAAAAGGAGAGGACTTTGCTGTGCCTCCTATGGGTCTCCACAAGTGTCTGCTAGCTAAATTTCTGGACTCTATTGCCAAACAGGGAAGCAGACACATTAAAACACCAAACCATATTCTGTCTCCGAGAATGCGTTTATGTATATCTTCTATATTTGGTATTTGAATTATTGAAACAATATGGGCAGCAGCTTGTCCCTTTCAAATTGCATTGACCATTTTCTGTAGGGTACTGAATTCCACAGATTCATGGTCTATACAGACTTTAGGGGAGGCTCATCAAAGCATATTTCCAAGGATTATAGCCCTATTGTTCAGTGGACTCTCCTTTCACAAGGATTTGCAGGCATCTCTGCTCCCAAGAATAACAAGCAGAGCAATGAATTGTATCCATTGTATTAGAAAGCCCTTCATTCAGGCAAGGAAGGAAAGCTGGACAGAAGAAGCTATTCTGAGCATGTTCTCTTTCTCTGCCTTAGTCTAGTGAGATTTTGTACTCTTACCAGCATGAAACTGTCTGCAGCAGTTGTGCAACCTCAAAGGGTGCTTCTGCTGCCTGATCCCTTCCTTCGGTGTTCACAGCCACGTTTGTGAATGAGAGATCCGAGTGCCATGACTTTGTTGGCTGGTCAGAAAGTCTTGTCCTTTTGCAGACAATCTTCTACAGGGTCAGTTACTTAAGCTGTAGGAGGCAACTCTGCTTATTTGTCTTAAAGCTGGAACAGTCCCACTCTTCTTGTCTCACCTCTGAATCTGTGAGATCTTTTGTTAGTCACTGTCTTGCAACTCTCCATCCTCCTGGTCACTATGAGCAAAAGGGAGGATAGTTTGATGTATCTCTTTCAGAACTGGGCCTTACTTTCTGTGCTGTTGTCCTTTTTGGTATTTTCTTTAGGGCTATTTTAACTGTTTAGGGCTATTGTAACTTTTATCTCTGCCATAACTGTCTTTTTCTGGATCCTTATGAGTTTGCTGCTTGTTTGCTGCTCTTTTCTGTGTTAGGTTTCCTTGCATGTTCTGGCCTTTATGAAGGGTACTTTCTGAAGGTTTGAGCAAATTCCAGTATCTTTGCGACTCTAGCTCTGACATTTTTAGGACCCTTTTGGAATATTTTTGGCTTCTTCTTTGGTAATAGATGAGACGGTGACTTTGAGCCATCTGTTCTGGAAATTGCACCGGCATTGAGATTTTGATTGTTTTTCTGGCTTGTAGCCTTAATCACCATAGCTGATGTGGAGCCATGCAGTACTCTTAGTGGATAAGACAAAGGAGTTGAATATGCTTGGAAAAGTGTATTTATCTCTTCACATAAAAGGCTACTGTGTTCTCAGAGATCCTGTTAGATTCAGGTTTTTGACTGATGACCTTTGGTTTATTGTCTTCACCTTCTGATGACATCTATCTGAAGTCAACCCTGATACTCTTGTGTTTTCTAGGAGATGTTTGCCTTTTTGCAGCATTAGATCACTTGCTGCCTTGCACGGAATTGTAGCTCTTGTCCTTTCAGCCTTCCAAAGGCCTGCTGGCCATAGAGGATCTTCTGGGTTACTAGCATGGTTGCATGTGGAGTTGAGCTCGTGAATACCTTCTGTCACTTTAGGCCTCTCTAGACCTAGACTATGCATCCACCAGAATTAAGAGGAGGTGTGGTTTTTTTGTTTTGTTTTTAACTATAATTTTCTGTTGGTCTTCTGTGTATTCTTACTACCTGCTATAAAGTCTCTTGGCATTTTGGTGCATAAACATTTTCAGGGTAAGAAGTAAAACATTAGGCTTTGTGGAATTGTTTCAGACTTGGGCTAATGTAATTTTAATCTTCATCGGTTTTAACTGAGACAGTAAAATGGATAAATTTCCATGTGTTGACCTTTGCTTAAAAAAATGTGTGCAGTTTGTAACAAATCTGTATTGTGTGTTACTTGCATTGTCTCCCTTTTCCAGGCTTTAGATGGTCAGAATATCTATAATGCTTGCTGTACCCTCCGGATTGACTTTTCCAAGTTGGTGAACTTAAATGTTAAGTACAACAACGATAAAAGCAGGGATTACACTCGTCCTGATCTTCCTTCTGGTGATGGACAGCCTGCACTGGACCCAGCTATTGCTGCAGCCTTTGCAAAGGAGACCTCACTTCTAGGTATGGCTGGTACTGGCGTTCTGTGTTCGAGTCACCTGATGACAATGTTTATTAATTTAAGGTGTTTAATTATTACAAAGATTATACCAGCGCCTTAAGGTCCACTCAGGGCTCATACTGTTCTGAATTATAGTAACACAATTATCTTACTGTCTGTACGAGTCCTGCCTGAATAGATGAGCGAGTGTGTGACAGGCAGTATAAGGAAAGGCTTAGTTAGTTCTGCTTCCCTTTCTGCCCTGAGAGTCTGTCTTCTCTATGTTCCTGTCAGTCGGCCGCTGCTGTGCGGCTTGTCTGCACCTCTAGCCCAACTATAACAGAGGCTTCATTTGTGGGGGTTCACTAGGAATGGACCTCAGGTCCTTATTATGATGTTGCAACTATGTTACTCTCAATAAGGAAAGACTATTCTGTGCTTAAAGCATCATCCTCTCTTCTTTTGTAAATAATAGAAAAAAATCTGTATTTCTTGTGTGTTTATACACATAATAGATTCGTTTTTTCTCTTTATTATACAGTAGCATGCCTAACTTCTGGTGCTATGGTACATGAATTCTAACATCCTGTCAACCTTGAAGCTCATCAGAAGTTGTAACTGAGATTCTCTGAACAGGATATAGATAAAAAATATCTTCTGACTGTTAATTAAGTGATTAATTTACTATGCTGTGTAGGCTTTGAGAGGGAAAAAGCAATGCTCTAGGTTTATGTCTGGAGATGTTATAAATTAAAATTTTACATCTCCTTTTCTCAAGTTGCTCTAGTTTGGTCAAAATAACTTTCACTTAAGTATTGAATAGCATTCACAGTTAATCTCATGGTTTTTACAAGACCCAATGCATTACATTGTGATCGCTGATCTCATTTAAAATATTTTTCTCTTTTTCTCATTTCCCTCTTTTCCTTTCGAAGAAAAGCTGTGGGGAACATAAATTTCATGCTGCCTTTTCTGTGTATGATGGCTTCAAAGTTAAATAGTAAAGGCTTCTGCTATGCTCCAGTGTAAATTTTGGCTCTATTAATAACTTATGCTACTGTATGCTGAAGAGTTGTACAATTTAGATGCCATTTCTGCTCACATTATTAACAATACAGTGTAATTTATATGCCAGAAGTGAGATTTAGGTTTAACATTATAGCCTGAGTGTAGTTTTAGTGCCCAGATATATTAGTCATAGTGTTTGGATCTGAATGCTAAATTTGAAGCTTTCTGAGCTGCTGCTTGTACAGACACTCTAAAGGAACCTGCCTTGTCCTTGAAAGCCTTTCAAACTGAGGAACAGGTCAGTAAGAGGATGGTTAGTAATTTCTACCGATTTACCTTAATTCTTTTTAAATGAATCTAGTTTAGAGGGTAATAACTGAAAATACTCCTCTATGAACAATATTGATTTTTTTCTGTGTGTTTAACTTCAGCAGGACCAAAGCATGTCTTCTAGAGACTAATTCTATGAGGAATTTTGCTCATTAGAACATGAGTTACTCCAGTTATGCTTTGATCAAGTATGCAAAGACCCAGGAAAACCTCACCAGATATCTCTAAAATGCTCTTATCCTAAAAATGCTCTATTACCTTCAAACTTTTGAGTCTAGATAGAGGTGCTTAGCTGTATTTAAAAAAAAAAAAAAAATGTCCGGTGAACATTGGGCATACCTTTCGGTCACTCTTCATTAGTCTGTATGTATGACCTCTATAGCAGCTGAGTGAAAATGAACAGGAAAAGTCAGATTGTGCAATACAAAACAAAGACTTGTATAGCATTTGAATTACATTTCCAAACAGAATTTTTAGATCATAGCTGCACTTTAAAGTTTAAGGACATGAGTGTGATATTCGTAGAGTTGCATAGGGCTGCCTGTCTGTTATGTCTGAGGATTTTTTGTTTTTTGTTTTTTTTGTTTGTTTGTTTTGAATAAGGGTCTATGCTTCTTTTGTATGGGAATCCTTACCTTAACTAGTGCCTTCTGGTTTTTACTGGAAAGTGGAGCTTTATTCTTTGGCTGTAGCGTACCAATGAAATACACATCATTCCTTTTGCATTTGTCTAAT